ACCCTTTACACAACAGGGCTCTGGTTTATAATGATGACAAGATGCAAAGTCCAGTGACTGTTGGTAGGCTAGCCCTATAACATGTGATATGGTATGTGCTGTAGTTTAGATTGTAATAAAAGTAAAATATATGTATGGTGTATGTTGAAGGAAACTTATTGATTTTGAATTTATTGATTCATAGGATCCCTTCCTGATGGTAGACTTCCTGGCAAACATTCAACTGCAGGTTAGATTCACCTATAACTCTTTCAATTCCAAGTAAATAACATTTAACTTCTGTGCATGACTTCATGCATCATTCAGTATGGAATAAGTGGTAATTGTAAAGAGAGGATATTACATGGTGGCAAATGGAGACCAATTTTCTCCTTTAATGGTGACAATGACTTTCATCAATAAGCAATCAGACCAAATAAGTGAAGGATAAAATTTATCATCAACTTGACATCATGATGACAAATTTAATTAGTATATACTAAAACAGTGGACAGTGTTGAAGGCATGCTCTGATTGGCTACTCAAACTTCAAATATCCTATGATATTGACTTCCAAGCAGCTTGGGTAGGATTTGCTCTCAAAAATATTATAATCAAATGAGTTAAAATCATCTTTTTTTGCTACATTATCTCACTGTAAGTGTATTAATAAATACCAGTTGAAACAATTAGTATATACCACACAAGTGAATAGTGCTTTTTGCACTGATTGGCTAGTTTGGAAATGAATAGCAAGTATTATTCACTTCTGAGCAGTCAATGAGATAAAACTGGGCATCCAGAGTTTAATTTCCAACCATTTGTTGGTATTTGAAAGAAATAAACTAATGTTTTTTGTTATTTGTGCAATATGTATTAAAACAATTATTCACCTCCACTGATTAGGCATAGACATAAATTTCTTATAAAAAAAACGATATGCTAGCAAGGGAAAAGGGATAAAAATGTCATTTAAGAGGATTGGAGGTGGCAATGTGTCAAAAGTTTTGTTGCCAATTATAGCTGATTGAAGCTTTTCCCAAACTCTTGATGGCATGATCCCATTTACCCTTACCAGGTACTAAATCCTGGATACTACTGCTATGTATCCAATGCCTTTATCAATCCTCTACATGCTAATATCAGTATTCATATTCTTCATTATCTTCTCTATACTTAGCCACCACAAGTGGATGTAAAATATTGTAAATATATTCAGATAATGATACGATTCTTCTATAAAAGACTGTTTTAAAACAGTCATTTCAAGAGCACTAAATCCCAAGATTATCAACAGGCAATCTTAGGATGCAGGAGTGCCTAATTATTTCAGCTTCTGACTTTAAGTTAGAGCAAATTGCCTCAGTTTGGAAAAATTTCTTATTCTATAAAGTGCAGTGTTTTACAAGGATTTACTGCCCTTAAAAAAGCTAAAACTGCATATATGTAAGATTAAAATCAATTCTTTAAATTTCTTTGATATTGCCGTTCAGCTACCATGATGACTTTGTCATCTTAGCAAGTGAGGAAATTGGTGAAACTTTGGGAGAAAATATTGTGGCTCCATATACAGAGAGAGATACTGGCAAAACTTAAGATGGACAAACACTTAGAGTTCACATTCAAGATTTATGTGCTCAAATTCATTGATTACTTATTAATATTTATATCTTTTCTTTTTGGTAACAGTTAATACTGATGGATCAGTGTGGAATTGTGAAGTTCGCCCCACCTTAGTCAGCCTTCCTGCTCCACATTTTGGTTTACAAATATTTCCTCCTTGTGTATTGCTAAATCGTTGTACTGGTTGCTGCTTCGCAAGGAATCTTTTGACCTGCAAGCCTCTCAAAAAAAAAATGACACCAGTGCAACATTTCAATATCTTTATGCCATCTGGAAAGCCTCAGGGTATGTAACTTTGTGTGTCCAATGTGGTCTGACTCCAAAAAGGAGTTAGACAACCACAATTTGTACCAAAAAATACCTATGTTGTGTCGCATGAATATTTCACAATATTTTGTGGATTAGTTATCTTTTTTATTTTGGCTGGGAAAATTTTTTTGGTATCTGAGATGATCAAAGTCTTTGCTGGGAACTGATAGGCAAGGCTCTTTTCTGACTAAGAGAGGAAGCTTTTTCCAGAGTTATATGGATTTGCAGAATTTTTTCTGATGGAACTGATTTTTGAAATTATGTGCAATCTGTCTAAATTTAAACCCACAAAATATTTGGTCTGACCATTAACTATGATACTGTAGATACTGGAGTGGGCAACCAATGAGAATAAATTGAAAGCTTAGGGTAAATGCAATCTGTCATTTTTGTCATTTCATTTTAAGTCAATGAATTTTTGCTCTTTACGGTTAGTTTTAGTGGATAACATGGTTTGGAACCTTTTTTCAATAGTTTGCTCACCATTCTCTGAATAAATACCTGAGTATGCATTCTTTCTGAAAACTTACATCTCCAAAAAAGAAACTGCTAATCATGGCAATGAGCATTGCTTTGTCATTTGCAACCCATGCATTGAACCATTTGCATTATTAACCCTTTACACTCTTTTTTAATTTCTCATCTAATAAACTGCAGTTTGTTTTATAAATAATAATTTTTTTTTAAAGAAATTTTTGTCTCCAGAGAGGAAATTCAGAATGTTTTGTTTCAAGTAGTTTGGCTATTATCAAGTTTCTATTAAGCAAGCTATCTTCTCCTTTAGATATCACTTACACCCTTGTTACTACAATGATGGAAGAGCATGTTGACTGTGGTTGTGAGTGTATCAAGACGGCTGATTCTTGCGATAAAAAGAAACAAGTGTGGAATAGCAACACATGCAGTTGTGATTGCAGGCCTGCATACCAGGAATCAGAGGTGGATTGTCAGAAACCCTATAAGGTAAAGTCATTGTCAGAGTCACAAATTTGTGTATGCTATAATTTGTTGATGGATATGTTTAGATGAGATTATTAAACACAATTTGGAGTCATGCTTTCTGAGAAATAAGCTCATCCTAATCTTATAAACACTTGGAGAAGCTTATGAGAAAGAGTTATGCAAACCTGAGGAGCAGTTGTGTGTTTACGTAACTGCTATTTGTTTCTGATTTCCAGAAATTGTCTATAGTTCATTGTGGTTTAGTTGGTCTGATGGGCATATTTATTATATAAATAGAACTTTAAGACTAAGAAAAGGCCACCTCTTGAAAAAAAATGTTGAAGTCCAATGATGTGGGAATGAATAATGATTGTTTAGAACTTCAGCATTAATTACTGCAATCTTTTAATGTTTAGTATGTCAAAGAAAAGTGTGGCTGTGTCTGCAACAAGGCTGAGCAGGAGTGTTCTAATCCCCTTCATAAATGGAGCATTGAAGAGTGCAAATGTGTATGCCGTAATGAACCTAAATGCATTGGAAGACAGAGGCTCGATGAAGCCAACTGTCAATGTACATCGCAACTTTCAGGACGTTAAGTATGGACATGTCATGTATCATTGCTTTGCCTATTTTGGGTTGCCTTAAAAACACACAAAATAACTGTCATGCTAGCTTTAGAGGTAATTAATACTAGGATTCATCCACACCAAGAAGCCTAGGAAAACATGAGTTGACCTTTGAAACTTTTTCTCAAGGAAAAGCATAGTCACTCAAGAGTTGGCTGCAGGAGAGACCTCCTGCCTTGTTTAAACTTGTCTTAAGAATTTTTTTCTTTAAACCCACATTTTCACTAGTGAACAAGTTTTCCCTGGAAATTGTTATCAGTGTGAGGTAAACAGCTTTCTTCAATACATTTATTTAAACAACAACAAAAACTTTGTGGAAAGCTTCAATGTTAGCAAAAATCCAAAAGTAAACTTTTTAGAACATAATTTCACTTGAACCCTTTACAAGGTTTTTGTGGAGGAGCCTCCAAAAATGAGCTCATGACTACTAAGGGAAACTTGATAGCTATCCAAATGAAAACACAATGCTGTAATTGAATTGCTGTTATTGAATATTGTTATTTCTGAGAGTATCCATTGCTATTTGGCTGACAGTATCATATTATCCAAGTATCTATTCCCTTAGGAAATTTCATATGTACTTTTTGGCTTTTATGCCAGCCCCTTTCGTTGTCCCCCTGTAGGGTGGGCATGGAAATTTTTATACTGAAATATTATAGATAATTTTTGTAATTACATATGTTTTTAATATAACTGGTTAAAGCTTTGTTTTGTTTTGTTCTTGTTTTGTTTGAAAACTTTGGAATCAACAAGAAATTTGAAGCATGACATGGATTTCAGAAATAAAATAATTATTAAACATTTTGATCAAATATTATTAATATTCTTTCATAAAAATTATTTTTTAAGATTTTGTTGTGGGTTTCACATAGCCTATCATAGTCCTTTTTGTTAACCCTTTACACCCTAACATCATTATCCATATTCTCCATACTCTTCCCTATGTTTCTTTTGGTTTTGACAAGGAGAATTCATTTGACGGTCAAAGCTTTGTATGTTGGCAAACATTTCTTTTACTCTCATGATCTTAGTGAATGATTCAGCAGTGTTACTGTAAGGAGAAGTGAAATGCTGGTCACTATTAGGTTTTAAAGGGTTAATATCATGCATGTCTAGGAAAATTCACAACATGTAAAAGCACAATAATATATACAGATATGTTCTTGATTATAGTGAACAATTTAAGTTGGAGAAGGTGTAACAGTTTGAAAAATGTAGCTTTTGTTAGCTAGCCTTTGTAGCAAGCACTTGAGAAAAGAATGGCAAGTGATAACAACTAAAATGTGCAAGCAAGAAGTTGTGCATTCAAGACCCCTTCTGCCCCTTGATCTGCTCTTTCATGAGCAATGCTTGCACATGCAATCCTTGTAAATCTGTAGCCATGTTAGTTGAAAATTTGGCTGTTTTCTTTGTGGTTTGCCAAGAAATTGTTACTTCTTCAAAGTTTTATGCTGTGCAACAGCAATGTTTTTATGTAATATAATTATGTGCTTTAGCAACTTAAGCAAGGGTAGAGAAAAATTGCAAATAATCAGAAGTTGTTCTCTTTGAGTGTTAATCAAAATGAACAGTGACCAAATTGTAACATAATATACAAAACTTTTGTAGAGATGGCCTTGTAATAAAACTTTTTTTGTTTGACTGACATCTTATCCAGAGGAGGTAACAGTATACTCCAGGTCACTTCATGCAACCATCATAAAAAACCTTACAAGAGGACTGAATGGCCCACTCAGATCAACAACTTGTGCCTGGAAAAAGTTTATTTCTCTGAATCTGTTCAGACACTTGATATTTCAATCCTGTTATAACATTTTTTAACCAGTGCTAGACCATGCACATTTGATCTTAGGGAACTAGCCAAAAGTATAGGAACAATTGTATTACCTATTACAGCAATGGAATTAATTTATTAATCAATATCCTGCATAGCAGTATTTTCTATTTCCTCTGCTCTCACTGTGCTTTGCTCCCTTGAGCTCTACACTTACTCTTGTACCCAGACCTTCCATGACCAAGCCATTGTCCTACATTTCAGTTATAGTTACATGGTAGGATCTGGGTATAAGATCACCCCATGCCTTTCCACAGCTCCCACTCAGTTCATGTTTCTCTTGCTTAGCTTATAAAAGAAACTGAAGAGGCTGCAATGCATGTTAGCTCATTTCTAAATGGTGAGCTACTCCAATACTGGCATACACATCTTGGCCAGTTAGTTTAACCTCTTATTACAGTTAAGTGTATTGATTCATTATTTTAAATTTTTTTTCAAAATTTCCTTTTAAATTCTCTGTCATGCTTGGCATAAATTAATCAAAAGTGGTTTGATCATTTGTAATGCTGAGGTTTACCTATCACCCCACAAAAAATATATGTTAATAGAGGAGCCAATCTTTCATAAAGATTTTGAAACAACATTTTTAACCATTGTCAAATTACCAAATGAATTGAAAGCATTGGTATTGCCTGCTAAAAAAACCAACACAAACTTATTAGAGTCCCATGAAATGTTCTACACCAGTCCTATGGTTATTAGCGTAAAACCATGCATGACCATGAACTAAGCACTGTGGAGTATTTGGAAGGCTGATGTTTTCAGCATTACCCCTTCATCAGACCAAAGGTTTAGTTTTTCTACCATAACCAGCTTTTAGTTGATAATCAACTATGTGTTACTCCCCCCCCCCCCCATATACAGTATGGCAGCACCTTAAGAGCCCTAACCCTTTACAACCTATCATCAGTATCCATATTCTCTGTACTATTTATCTATACGTTTCCTTTGCTACTGGAGAATTGGCAATCATTTCCTTTATTCTAATGATCTTAATGAAAGATTCAGTTTTATTACTTTGAGAAGAAATTAGGTGCTGGTTGCTCTGAGGGTTTAAAGGGTCAACACTCAAATTTTCTCTTCCTGTCATTTGCTTTGCTATGCTAAGAGGATGTTGAGGAATAACTTGGAGTTTTTCTTTCAAGCCATTAGTTTGCAACAAATCCATACAGTTGTACTATTAAAAATTTTTCTTTGCTTGTAAAAACAATGATTTGGTATGTACAAGAATAATAAATAATAAAATGTGAACACTTCAAGTATGGATATAAATATGTACAGGTATGCATGGTTATGTACATCTAATTAACACCAAAATGAAGAAAATTCTTTGCTGCACATTTTTTTAAATTTACTTGTTCACTTACTGTTCATGAAACTCTCATGTGGTTGCTGAATGTTTTATGAAACAATGTGTATTGAATTGACCGGAGAATGCTCTTTGCAAGACAAATGGTTAGAGTTGGAATGATTCACAAGTCTAAATGCTTCCAGGAATTCATTGAAGTCAATGTGGCCATCTTTGTCCATGTCTATACTTTTTGCCAAATCTTCAATGGAGTCAACTGGGATATTGGAGTTAGTATGCTCATTAAGAAGACGACAAGACTCCTCAAATTCTTCCATTGAAACATACCCTGTTGAAGAAAATGAGGAAAAAATGGTTTGCCCTGACAGTATAAACTTAAAAGTGGGGAAGGCAGTGGGAAGGAACCCTGTGGTAACCTATGTCAAACATGTGGGTAACCTGTGTGTAATCTTTCAGCCAACAGTAAACCAATAGTCAGTAATGGGATGCTGTTCCTCACAATGATTAACCCCATTTCACCCCATGACAAGTAGATATAACAGAGTCTTTCTACATTTAGCATACCTGAATTGTCTTTATCCATTAAGCGGAAAATTGTTTCCAAATTTGACCTATGTCTGTAGAGCGTCTCAGTGATGCTTGGGCCATTCTATACCAGAAAAGTTGACAATAGATAAATAAAGAACCACATGCATGTTGGAAATCTTGGCACGGCAAGTAAGTTCATAGTATATGGCTCAGCCTTTACTAATAACACATGACTAGAAGAATCCTTTTGGTTACAAAAAAAGCATGATCCAAGAATGATGACACCCAACAGCTTCATGGGAAATGTTTGCAATGATAACTCTTTTCTTTCAGGAAAGCTTGGATGACTTCCATCATTCACCATGCACAACTTACAGTGGTTATAATTTACATGTGACTGTAAGCCATAGGGTCTCAGCAACTTCATTGTCAATGCTTTTTAGGTGTCAATGTTTTTGTAATCAGGTGTATATTCATTAAAGGCCTTTATGCATTAGACAACTACATTTGCATGCTCAGTTTCTAAGTTACTATGAATTTTTCATTGAGGTTATGTCAGGCAAGGATAGAGTTGGCAAAAGTGACTTGATGGAAGTGGCAAATATCATGGTTCCAGAGAAATTTCCTTCTTATGGACTGAGTCATCTTACAGGATGGTGCTGTCTTCCAGCCCTATTGACACAAAGGCTTACAGCCCTCACACCAGGATTATTGTCTACCATTTCTTAATAAAAATGTGCACATAATGCTAATTTAATCAAATTAAATGCAACAGATGCACTGTGCATGCATGAAATCATAATGATACACCCCAACATCAATTTTAGATAATTGTTGCAATTGAAATAAACTCTTTGCATAATTGGCCTCTCAGAGACTAAATTTTCCTTGCATGCTTAAACCAACATATAAATCTTCACTTACTACTTCACTTTCAAGAAAGATATCCACTGTTCCAGTCAAGTTTTCAATGATACAAAAACCCTTAGTTACCTTTCATTCAATATCCTTCAAATCATTTCAGATTAAAAATTCAAAACTAGTCACCTTGTGTAGTCCTGTCTCAATGATATACTGATCAAAGCATGAACGGTAATCCACTTTTCCATCTGGCAGAACATGGGCAAGCTGATGTCTCAACATGTTCCATGGTACGTCTAATTTCAACACACTCTCCACAGCAGTTGCCCACTGAGTTGCAGTCAAATATCCTAAAAGGAAATGGCCCAATTATGTCTTACATCAAGGCAATGCTCAAAATCACCCAATATTACTTTTAAAGAATATTACTAACCCTTCACACCCTAACATCATTACGCACATTCTCCATAATGTTCTCTCTAAATTTCCCTTGTTGCTTTACCAAGGAAAAGAATAATGTGTCTGTTGGGGGTGGGGTGAGATGAGGAGGAAGTTCACTGAACCTTTTATTCATGCTCCCTGATCTCAGTTTTTAACTCGCCTGTTTTTTCCTTGTCTGTTTCTTCAAAGGCAGCCATTAAAGCTATCTTGTTGGCATAAAGCCTTTCCTTTAATTCTCGTATTGCAGACTCTTCTACTATTCCAATCCTGGAAATAAAAAGAGGCAATTTGATGATGTACCCGGTTATACTGAAGCGTATTTTGCACATTCTGTTACCCAAATATTAACAGTAAAATGGTATAGTAGTGGAACAATAAACAAAACCATCTCCTGTGATGTGAGAAGAAGTGAATAAGTGCTTCTCCTCAACTAGGCTCTGCCTTTCCCAACCAAAACATTTGAAATAATCACTCCAGGTGCTAATTTTGGGTATTTGACACAATACCAGAAAGTTAATAGTTGCTAAAGAAATTGCCAGCCTCTTTTTCCTGCAAGAACAATGATTACAATCATTGGTACTGACCTTTGTTTCAGGGTGAGATGCTTCTTAGCTTTGGAAGCTTGATACTGAACAAAGTAAGGTTTCATATCAGGTCCAATCTTCATGTATGCACCCCTGTTGCTTCCCTGCTCATAGTAATCTGATGCTGAGAATATTGTTATGACCTACAAAAAATATTTTCAATCTTAGGAGTAACATAGATGCTTATAACCACAACAACTTATCACAAGTGATGACTAGTATTGGATAGGATGCTTAGCATTGGAAGCCCCCTCTTCCCCCTCCGGCCCAAATATACAAATATTTTCCCTTTTTCATCAAACAACACAACAACAGGGGAGCCATGCGACATGAGACTGTGGAAGGAATATATATTAATTTTGAAGTGTGCCAATCAAAGCTATACCAGCCAACCACAGCTGGGAGTAACCCTTTACAAGGTGACACATATCCTGTTGACCTTATTGCCTGAAGACTTAGTGTTTGAAATGGAAACATTGTAAATTATCCACAATGGAAGTGCCTTCATAGTGAGACAAATGATTGCACTCCATTAATAAAGAATTTTCCTAACAGTTTGCTTGAAGCCATGTCCACTTTCAAAAATCTCAACCAGAGGAAGGCATTTCAGGTATTTATGAATATCTTTTATCTAATGTATGCAATACCTTTCCACCGTGCATATATTCATATCCTTCAAATTTACATTCATGAGAACGCACAAGAAGCTCCAAATCATGTTTCTTCAGGATGCGGTCTGTGATGTCTGGACCAAAGTAACAGCCCCCTCCTCTAAAAGTGTTTGGTTTACAACCAGGGAGGGGTTTGGGGTCACTCCACAGCAGATCCAACACCTTCAGGTAAAAACCATAATCAGTTCTTTTGCACAACAAGGAACTGCAGAGATTGAAACTAAACTAAAAGAATGCCATAGAAGTGAGAATACTCTCAAAGTATACGGTGGCCAGCAATTTCAACATAATTTCATTAGCAGAGGGTGGAGCAACCTGACCAAAACCTGGTCCCAGTAAATGCATCTAGTATTGTTCAGATGGGCTAACTTGACAGAGGTAAAGGACAAAAAGATGGTGACAATCTGAGTTACAGATTCAAGTTAATAAGTTAATAAGTTTATTAACCATACCACTCTCATGAAAGGTGTGGTAAAAAAACCTTTTTTAGTGTAACCTAAAGAAGAGAAAAAGTTACCTGTCTCCACTCCATTAGATCAACAGTATCTGGTTGTGCTTTGTCCATGCCCGGGGGCTTGAGTATTGACACATACTGATCATAAGAAGATTATACAAATTAGAGTTTACAGAAGATCAACGTTCATTAGTTTTTTTTATCATCAATACATGCTGTCACCATTGTACAGAAGTCACTTCTACCAATGCCATTCTTTTTGACGTTCTGTTCATTGCCACTGACCAAAACCATTTTGGCTATGATCACCACCAGTGCCACAGCCAGAATTATTAGTGACCTTATGCAACCATGATGGTAACAGCAAAGTGTCAATTTAATAAGTAAAATGTTTAACATGTACAAAAATAGGCCTAGAGGTACTTTTATGTGCTTTCTGCATTTCCTTGGAGTGTACATAGCAAATGCTATGTACTCCAAGAAAGAAAACCTTGAAGTTCATATCAATAATTTTATGCTTTTCCCTGGAACTTGACAGGCTACAATGTAGAGGAAGTCTTTCAACACAAAGGACAGTACACACATCTTGCCTCTCAAGAAACTCCAATAATAAAATGTATTACCTCACTTTTAAAATTGCATTTTCCCAGTTTTATCATGGTAACTGCATAAGGCCCCTTTCACCATCGTCATCATTATCATTATGGCACAAACAACATGGTCTTGAGGATACTACTACTGTGACAGCATATTTAGACAACTAATTGCTTTTATTCTGTCTCTAGACTATGAATATTAAACCCTCTGTGGGTGTTCATCAATAAATATGTAACTAACAGTCTGAAATAACCTTTCACATTGATTGATGAGAAACAGATAGAACAGAGAACTGGTACAGACCTTGTGACGGTCAATTTTATCAATGCGTGACAAATCTGTAATATTAGATATTCCTCCATGAGTGACAAGAATTTTGTTGTTCACCACTGTGGCTAAGGGAAGCCACCCAAAGATATCTCCAAACAACCTCATGACTTTTGAAGAATGTTCCTGCCAAGACAACATTAGTGATACTTAATGGGTCAAAGCAAAACTGATTGAGAAGTAAACTGCAATTTTAGTAATTATTTGATGATAAAGAAGGCAGCCACTTGCAAGCTCCAGAGACTGAAAAAAAGATTTCTTTACAAGGGAGAACCCTCTCAAATTTGCCTTGTTCCCAACATGTAACTTTGTAACTCCATTGTTAGTAGCTCCCAACTAGTATCAGGGAGGCAAAGGTTTGAATCCCATTAAGGCCTGAATTTTTCAGCTTCACCAACCATTTTCCCAGCTGCCATAACTAATGGAATTTAGTCCAGTTTCTGTAGTGTATGACTATGAATTCAAAATATAATTTCCACAATGCCTGAGCAAGTTACCTTGTACTTGTCCATTACTTCTTTGACAAATCCGTATCTATTGAAATTTAGAAATAACTATAATCAAAAATAGTGCACCTTTTGGAGAAAACAGCTGTCACTTTGTGAAGAAGCCTGCTATCTTACCTTACCAACTGTTATAAGCTAATCAGCTATATAACTAATTATATCAAATTTAATATATAAGAGCACATTAAGCCCTTATACAGTCCTACAGTGTAGGGTTGTTGATCGCCTTCTTAGAGGGAGGTGTGCCAACCACTTTTGCAACTCATTATAGTCCATTGCAAGTTAGTACCAGCACTTCAACAGGTTTCCCTAAGACTTGCCTGGTACCCATTTATATCCTTGGTTGAGAGACTTTAAAAAGCGTCTTTCCCAAAAACACAACACAAGGGCTTGAACCTGAAATCTTGACCCAGAGTCTCACATGCTAACTGTCATACCACTGTGTCTCCAAAAGCTCACTCCCCAGGCAATTTAAGCTCCTTTACATGTAACTTCTAGCACACATGCCCTGTCCACATACCTGAGATTCATTATATGATCCTCATGATTACCACGATTAATGTAAACACCAGTGGGATAAAGCAGGAAAAATGAAAATAAAATGATGGCAATTTCAATGGAGTAAGGACCTCGATCCACAAGGTCACCATTAAAGATGTAAGGATTTTCAGCAGAAGGAAGACCATTCTATACCAAAAAATAAGAGCATAAATAAATATTCAAGGACAAAATTCATGAACATGGATTTAAGTGAGTGTAAATGGCAAACTGATTCCTGGCAACCAAACATTCTGTAAGAAATCTGTTAGAGCAGTCTGACAGAACAGTGCTAAGAGTACACATCATCACAAGTGCTCAAAGCCAATTAGTCACAAAGGAGTATAATGCCTCCCTAAGTAATGCACAAACAGTCAATCTTACTGCCACAAGAAGACCAGCAGCATGGAATCAAAACATTGTAATCCACATTGGATTCCACATAGAACACACTTTCTATTGGTTTGATTACCAGTGTAAACACAGAATGTTGGGAGAACATGAGAAAAATTTGAAAAGGATGTGTGATTTTTCACAAGCCAGAGGTGAATGATTTACAAACTTCCCTCGTGTTCTTCAAAACATCCCGTGTGCAGTCTATTGCCAAATGAACTAATAGCAAAGTTATTGATCACACAGACAGGAGGATAAAGAAGGGTGGTCAAAAGGGAACATAACATGTTTGGATGAACTGTGAATGGATCCCTGGCTGGAGAGCAAGGATGGTGCAGTCACCATGGTAAAGTGCCTGCCTCCCCCTGTTGCTACAAGGGTTCAATTCATGGACCTGAAGTCACATGTGGTCAGTTTGTTGTTGGCTCTCATCCTTGCAACAAGCTTGTCTCCAAGTTCCTCCACTTCTCCCACCACCACACCCCCTAGGATCTTTGTGGAAGAGCCACTAATAAAATCTAATTTAGTTCTTTTTTATCAAATCTTATTTAACAAAAGAGTGCATAACAGTTTGCAGCACTTGCCTTGTGAAAAATCACAAACAGATCATCCAGTTTCCCATGGAGGTCACCTGTTGAAAGTCAGAATAGCATTCATTTTTAACTTTATATTTCT